TGAGGGGGGGGGGGACTTAATTGGGGGAGGGGGAGGGAATTGGGAGGCGGTGGCGGGGAAGAGACAGAAATCTTTAATAAATAAATAAATTAAAAAATTTTTAAAAAAAGAATTTTTACATAATCCTTAAAGGGTCAATTTTTCAAAAGAACATCTTTCTAAACAGTTATACACTTAATTAATTGAGACACAAAGGAAAGCTGTCAAAGTTGAGGGGAGGGAAATCCAAAAATGTATTTGGAGTTCAATGACCCTCTCTCAACAACTAGTATAAAAGACAAATAAAAATCGAAAGATTTGAAAACTCTCAGGTAACTCAATATGGAGTTTGACCAGTGGAGGCAATCAGAGTTTTGTGGTTCTCCCAGAGTTGTTAGGTCCTTTCTGGCCTCTGCTGGGTCTGTCACTCTGCTCAATTCGAGTGATGTAGCAGTCTCTTCCTACTTTTGTTAGGTAGGCATTGTGCTATTGACTTTGGAAGATGTCTGGTCCTCAGGAACATTTTCCTGACTCCAGTTCTAGGCCCTCCTGGCCCACTCAGTCCTCTTTCCTAGTGCTACATTAATGCTTCTGCACTGCATACAAAAGTGGTTAGTTCAAGCATGCTCAGAGAAGCTCCGACTGTAGAGATGGTGGTACTATCTGTTATGATTCTCCCGTTCTTCCAAACTTACTGGAATATCTTGTTAGCTTTGCACTGTACCCCTGCTTCCACTACTTGACCCCACAGTTGGTAGTAGCAAAGACATTGGCATCTATTTTTATCCCTTTTTCTTTGTTTGGCCCTCCTTCCAGCTCCAGAAGAGCTTTCTTGTTTCTGTGTCAGGGATTTTTCTTACTGTTAAAATGATGGCTTTGGTGAGAAAAATGAAGAAGCCAGGTAAGAATTTGACTCACAGTTATTTAAAAGTAGTGAGCTCAGTTGCTCCCTGTCTCTTTCAGGATCTTACAGTGAAAAAGAACAGGACCAGGATGTGAAGGTGGATGGGTTTGAGAAGTGTTGCTATGCATTTTTTTCTATTAAGACTTGAGACTTATAAGTTCTGGTAAAGATAGAAGACAGGAACAATTTTAAATGGAACAGCAAGTATTCTGAAAAGGTGATAACTATGGTGGCAGACTGCGGAAGAACATATTACTTAATAAGCAAGAATTTTTCTAAATCCAAGGCTCAATCAGTGCCTTCCGATCTTATAAACTTACTATTAGAAGTTTAGGTTTCTGTGTTCTCCACAGAGACTCTGGGATAGAGCCCAAATTCCTCTTCTTCATTCCTTTCCTTTCCTTTCCTTTCCTTTACTTTACTTTACTTTTCTCTTTCTCACTTTCTCTCTTTCTTTTATTCTTTTTGTGTATATATAAATCTCTATGAAATTCTCACATGGAAAAACTTAACTGGAAAATGTCTTTGCAACTTTGTTAAATGAGTGAAAGGAGAGATAGAGATAGATAGATAGATAGATAGATAGATAGATAATAGATAGATAGATAATAGATAGATACATAGATAGATATGTAGATGATAGATACATAGATAGATAGATACATAGATACATAGATACATAGATACATAGATAGATACATAGATACATAGATACATAGATAGATAGATAGATACATAGATAGATAGATACATAGATACATAGATACATAGATAGATCTTGGCACATGACAACAGAAATCGTATTGGAAAATAACTCCTAGAGTCTGCTTTTCTCAACATTGGCTTTATTTGGTTACAGTGATGTTCATAATGATAAACATAATGGTGTTCAGTCAGTGACAGGCTATGTACCCAAAAGTACATGCGTGCAATATAATGAGTCTGAAAACATCCTATTGGTAGTCATGTCATAGCAATTTTTAAGTTATAGCACAATGCACCCTCAAATATTGATGTAGATAGAGCCACTGCACTGGCAGTCACACCATGGCATGTTAAATACAATTAAATGTGTGTGTGTGTGTATGTGTGTGTAAGTATATAAATATATAACAATGATGATAAATGACTATTAACTAGTTTATGATTTCCATGATATTCTTTAGAGTATATTCCTGATTAAACAAAAAAAATGTTAGCTATGAAAGATCCTCATGCTTGTCCTTCATATTCGTCATGCAGTATCCAGAAAGAAGCCCTGTTATTGATGCTGACATCACCACCCATCTTTCACCTCATCCTCCAATGGGATGAACGATGAATCTGAAGACAGGACACAGGTGATCCTTGCCTCAGTAATAAGTGGGTTGTGCCTTGGTTTTTATTAATACCTTAAAAATAAATGGCTACATTGAAAAAATCTTATAAATAAGAATATGAAGAAAAATATTTATATAGTTAAACAATGTGTTTAAGCTGTGTGAGTAAAACAAATCATGGCTTTTCTAAATAAAAGTAAGGGTTTTGTAAAGTAACAGGTTAAAATAAACAAAGGTTAATTTGTCATTGAAGAGAAATGATGATGTAAGTTTAGTGCAGCCCGTGTGTAGAGCAATGGACAACAATGTCCTCAGTCTTCCCATTCACCCCCGCAACTCACTCCCTGCCTGGACACGGAAATGTCCAGATCTACAAACTCTGTCATCCTAAGTGGCTCCCACAGCTGCGCCATTTTGTCTCTTCTAAACTATATTTTTACTGTATCCTTCCTGATTTCAGCTGTATTTAGACACACAGACACAACTGTGGTATAATTCCCCGCACTATGGTGTTCAGTATAATAACTCGGCACAAAGTTTTGTAGCCCGAGTGAGTAGTGGGCTCCACCCTCTGCGTTTGTGTCTGTGTGCTCCATATTTTCACAGCCATGAAACTGCACGATGCTCCATTCCTTAGAACCCATTACTCTGTCATTCAGTGATTCGCAGCTGTGTTCTAAACTCCTAAGCAGCATAGATATGGCCTCAAGCCAAAGTAATAATGCTTATTTTTATCATTCATTTGATGTTCCATATTTAATAGAGCTCTTTGTTGGAGTTTGAGCGTGACAGCCTTCAATGTCCAGGTAATAAAGTGCATTTTAATTTCAGGCAAGCTGGATTAAATAAAAATCGTCCAGGCATTCTCTAATTACAAATTTTGATTTCAAAATTCTTTTGTCTCAAGATTGAAACTTCCACTTGAGAGAGTTAGGTAAAATTTTCCACAGTGCAATTCAATTCCAGAGTGAATCACAGCACCTCCCAGCACCCCACAAAGTCAATGCCATCTCATTATTCTCTCCTGCACAGAGATTAAAACCGTGCCTTTTCATTTGCATAATCAAGTTGTTCGGACGTCCACAATGCCTCCTAAGAGTCCCTGCCAATAAAGAAAGCGCTGCAAATGACAAAATGCTCTCCGCTGATAGTGTAGCTTGTCACTAAAGAGGCCAGAACCTCATTTGTCACATATCAAGCAAGACTCACACATTAGTCACGTTAGAAACTTGTGCTTTAGGAGTAGAAAAGCCTCACAAGACACAAGGCAGGCATTTTACTTTTCAGAAAGGACATTCTCAAACACCGAACTAAAACAAACACTGTTTCAAAGGACGTTACAAATGCCTCACTTCCTTGGCAGGAAAGAGCAGTAGTAAGGGAACCCCAGCAGAAACCATGAGCTGGTTGGTCTTGGGATTCATTTGTCTTTTATTTTTCTTTTCAAGACTGTTAGAGTTGATTAAGCAAGGGTAAAAACAAGCTGAGCAGGCCTTTGTCAGAGCTAAATATGAAAAGAGATTATCTAAAATAAAGTAGGGGAAGAGTTACTGTGGGCCAACCAGACAGCTCAGCAGGTAAAGGCTCTCGCCACAAACCCTGACAACCTGAATTTAATCCCCATAGTGGAAGAACAAAACTGACTCTGTCAAGTTGTTCTATGACTTCTCCATGCACTCTGTGGCATGTGCTGCCCCATACAATAAAGAGGGAGAGAGAGAGAGAGAGAGAGAGAGAGAGAGAGAGAGAGAGAAGAAAATTTAAGTTCTGATGACATATGTGTAAGTTTACATAGAATCTTTGTGCCTGAGGATTGGAGGGAACCTTACAGTTTAACTTCCCCAAAGATCTTAATTTCACATACAGGAAAACTAAAGGTCCTCAATACATTCAATAGGAGTCCTGACTCTTACCTTTCCGGGGGAAGGTTAGTGACCACATGGATGGATTCTGACCCTTTACCCAAGTAAACCCTTTACTCCTCACGCTGCTTTTTATCAGATTATCTTATCTCTGGAGCAGAGATTAGAATAAAATTTAAGAGATTTGACTCTCACAACCTGCACAACAACCAACAACCTGTACAACTTAAAGTTCACAAACCTATGAAGATAGCAAAATTAATATTATTAACATACACCACTCCCTAAAGTTTCTTCATAGGTCTTTGCAATTAATGCCTCCGTGCTTTGCATCCTGTCCCAAAGCAATCACTGACGTGGAATTCACTCACTATAGTTAGTTTTCTTTTTATAGAATTTATGTAAGTAATGTGATCTGGCCATTACATTGTAGCTCACACTGACCTAGGACTCACTAGGTAGCCCAGGCTGACCTAGAACACACTATATAGCCCAAGCTTGCCTTGAACTAACCATATAGTTCAAGTGGACCTTGAACTCATTCTCTGGCCTTAGCCTCTTGAATGCTGGGATTGCACATTGGAGACACCATACGCAGCCACCAAATTATGACAGACATATGCCACCCATTCATGCATTCTTTTTGTTCCAGTTTGTTTCATTCATTGGAGTAAGGAGATTTGTTCATGCTGCCCTGAGTTTTCATAGTTTATTAGTTATTGATGTAGTGTAGTATCTCTTTGTACAAATGTAGGATTTAGCCATTCACTTGTGGATGAAGTTTCAGGCCATTTCTAGTTTGCTGCTCTCTCAGTTGCTGATAATAGCAGCATCTCTCTCTGGCTGTTTTCCATTGGGTGGCTGCCTTCTGGCTGGGCTTCACCTCTCTCACTGTTGAAGCCCCTTTGGTGGCTTTCCTTTGTGTTTAACAAGAGACAAAATCAAACTCAAAACTATAAATGAACAACTCATGATGCTGTCTGAGTGACTGGAGAGACAGACGGAAGATCAATGCCAGGCACAAAACTTGAAAACCATTGAACAAATGACAAGACTGATTGCTTTTATGATGTCATCTCCCCACAGCTAGAGAACACGTGTTGTTTACAAGTATACATTCAACACTATCCAAGAAAGATTGTATTCTGAACAATACTACAAACCTCAATAAATTCACTTAATATTTATTTCATAAGAAGTAAGTTCCCAGACTAAAAATGGAATTAAATTAAAGCTAATTACTAGAAATATAACTGAATGGGAAGTTCCCAGATACTTGGTACCTACTTTTAAATAACTCATTTTCTGAAGAAGAAATTACACAGGGATTTTGAACAAATTTTAATTGAATGGGAATGAAACACAGCACATTACAGTTTGTGACATGTAACTAATTGCATGGCGCGATTATCCCTTTACTATTTATATTAAAATCTGGAAGGCTCCAGATCGTTGAGTTTAAGGTCCCTCCCAAATAACCTAGTAAAAGAATAGCAAATTCCATCTAAAGAAAGCATGGTAGTGAAATCATAAAGATGCACAAAGGTCAATAACACAGGAAACAAGAAGCAATAGATAAAAAATAAGAACACAAAAAGGTAATGCTTTGCACAGATCCATGCCATGGATGAACCTCTACTCATCTAAGCAAGAAAGACACAAGTTACCAAAGTTAGAAGTACAAGGGACTATGTCCTCCAAGAAAATGGATTGCCAGAGATCTCCCACCTGGAAGCTTGCTTTAAATGTGGCAATGTCAGCTACTAAGCAGAAAACTGCCTTTCATCTCAACTGTGGCCCAGACACTGCCAGGACAGGACAACAGGACACGGGGGCGGGGGGATGATTACCCCAAGTTGCCACGTCAGGGCGCGTCACTCTCCCCAAATCTCCACACCACAGGAGAGTCTGTCAGATCATCTGGGCTTGGCAGCTGACTACTGCCTTAGTATTTCTATCCCCTAATGCCCACGAAGACACTTGGGACAGCGGCCTAGGGAGCTGGAAATCTGTCTAACTTCTGCTTAAATCGATCTGATGGTGTTCAATGACTGGAGTACTGACAGATTTGCCAGTTAACAGCTCTCTCCCGACCTCCCCAAGGCAACAACCAGCCTGGCAGCTCACTAGTTAAGTATCCTGCTAAACATACAGACAGGTGTGCCTCCTTCACTCCATGCAGGATTCACAGGTTTCAGATTTGGAGATCAGATCAGGTCAATGTGGAGGCTCAAAGATTTAACATTGATAGATATAGTTTTGTTAAACTAATAGAGTACTAACTAAATATCTGTGGGTTTTATTGGCTCCTGCTTTTCAGCTCTGCTGAAATGCCAACTCCTCGCCCTTGAGAACAGGCTAACATCACAGAGGGGATAGAGTCCTGCAGGTGTCTTCAACTCCCTCCTCCTTCACTGGGCCAACCTCTTTTGTTCAATGAATTTAGACCTAAAAATGTTCATGAATTTTAACCCAAAGCCAAAACCTTTTGCTATGACACCAAGGTAAAAAAAAAAAATTTCCTCCAATTGTTTAACAGGTACCTGCATGTTCCTGGAAAGAGTGTCAAGTCCAAACCATGGGGGGGGGGGGGCGCTCCAGACATGCTTGGGGCTCCAGACATGCTTGGCCTTCCAGTTATGCCAAACCCCGCACCAGGTTGGCCCTCCAGAAATGCCAACCCCTGCACCAACTGAGGACACCAACTGGGCAAATACTGGCAGGTTGATTTCACCGACATGACCCCTCATAAAAAGGCCCTGTTATCTCTTAACTCTTATTGACACCTTTATAGGATAGATGCATTCCCCACCTCCAGAGAAATGGTAGAAAAATATATCATCCCTCAATTTGGTGTACTGGCCCCCACCTCCCAAGCTCCTGGGACATCAGTGCTAACACCACCTCTCAATGTGCAAGCTGGCACCTCTCCAGCAACTGGGACCTGGTTTTCCAAAATGTCCTAATGAAGGGCATGTCTGCTCTTGTGTCTCGCTCATTCACCCTTGTCTCTTTTTACAGCCACAATACTTCTCTGTTCCATTCTTTCTGACAGTCTTTCTGATGCCCATGGCTGACCCCACAGTGATAATAATCGATTTTTTTTCTCCTACCAATCTGCCTTCTCAGCCTCCCCAAGAAACAGGGTGGCAGCTAGCTGAATGCTTCTTCACCCATGCCTCCCACTGAGCGTGGGTCCACCAGCTTTTGACTTGCGCCTTCCCACGTCATCCCGTGTCAGCATTGAGATGTTGGGAAGCTCCATCCAGCCCCACTCCTCCCATTCCAGACTCCACCACCGAGAAAGCCTGCAGTTTCTCCCCTGGAACTGCTCAAGACTGCCTACAGGCTTTTTAAGACCCTGCACATAGATCTGCCATGTGCTCTTGTGTTCTCTCTCCTACATCCTGAGAGCTACCCAGGAGTGTTCTTCTTTGCATTGCCCTGTTTATTAAATCTTGATTTATTAAAAATAAGCAGATAAATGAATGACTGTCTGATGTTTCACCAAAAAAAAGAGAAAGAAATATAAGGGGCTATATAAAGTTATTATTAGGATAATAATATTCTATCTTGTGTGTATGTGGTTTTCAATTTTTCTTTTATTTTTGTTATTATAACTACATCACTTCTTTCTTCACCTTCCTCCCACCAAACCCTCTCATATACACTTCCTCACTCTCTTTCAAATCCATTGCCTCTTTTTTCATTAATTGTTGTTACATGCATATATGTACATACACATATATTTCTAATATAACCTTTTCAGTCTATATAATGTTACTCGTATGGATGTTTTCAGGATGGACCATTTGTAATTAGATAACGAATTGCCTTGCTCTTTCCTGGAGAAGACGATTTTCCCTTCTCCCACCAACTCTCAGTTACCCATAGCTATTCTGCAAGGGGCAGGATTCTATGCCCCTCTCAATGCTGACTTGAAATCTGACTTGAGCTTTCACAGGACTTGTGTATGTGAAACTAACAAAACTTTCGGAGCTAGGATGGTAGATTTTCTACCTCTGAGCAGAAAAAAAAAATATTTCTTAACTATGACAGAACTCATAAGTCAAAATAAAAAATACATTGAGTGTGATAAAATTTAAGTTATTATCCAAAATACCCCAAAGCAAGTGAATGTGTAGGTCACAAGTGGGGTAATGAAGTACGTGGAACAGCTGAGTAACTATAAGAAGAAATCAAAGGACTAGTAAAAAAGAAAAGGGTATTTGTATGTATTTATACATTAATAAAATATATCCTCTAGCAAAAAAGGCCAACGTGTACATATTTTATAGAAGAAAGCTCAAATTATCCTAAACATAAAAACATTCTTAACTATATGGAAATATGTTTAAATTCACTGATGATCAGGTCAATTTAATTTTAATCCATGCTGAGAAATAATAATTAATAATAAATAAATTAAGTCAGATGGCACCACATTGGGCAGGGGGAGAGCATTGGTGGGAATTCTTATTCGCTGTGGTAGAAGGAGAAGTTAGGGAACTACTTCCGAAAGGACTAGCTTCCCTTTGAATTTTACTGTGCACACATGCTACCTCCCAGAATACTGACTGACAGGTACAAGCTCTAGAGAAAGCACAGCAATGTTCACAAATTATCACATTACAATAATGTTTGCAGAAGCTTATTCTCATATCAGAAAAGATGAAAACATCACAAATAGCTATTAAGAAAAGGGTGGATAAATAAGAAACGATTTTAAAAAAAGTCTTAGAGTAGACCATTGGAGAGCAGTGAAAATGTGTGACCTATAACTGGATACAACAGCATGGTTGAATTGTGCAAGAAGATAAGTTTGAACGAAAGAATAAAGTCACAAAGCAAGGTTCAAAACCTAGCAAACTAATGTACTACTTAGAATGTACTGTATACAGCATAAAACCTTCAGAGAAAGAAAACGATTAACCCATAATTCAGGACTTACTGGCTCAGTGGGAAGAGAATTGCTACCTGTACTAAGCATACAAGCTGACCTGGAAAATAATAGAGTGTTGTCTCTGAGGCTTTGCAGCATGTACTTAAGTGTTTGTTCTTTGCCAGATTACTGTATATATCATCTATTGGGTATAGTGTTAGCTTTACATTTAACTGTTGCAGATTCCAAGAATCCCAAACTATAGACCTTAACTCACTAAGTTACGATGATATGAATAAGTCTGTTTATTTTACTGGATTTTTATGGTTATTTTGATAAAGGTAGTCTGAAGAGCGTGTTTGGAGTATCTGTATTGTTACCAGTTTGAGGTTTTTACTCTTATAACTGACAATTCCTGAAGAGCAAGCCATTAACGAAAGGCGGCAGACACAGTTTATAACATATGAGACCCAAGTCTTCCATGTTCAGAAAGTTTCACTTTATACTGTTTACAAAAGATGAGTCAAAGAAGCCACATTTTAAACCATGTTAGTCATTCATTACACAAGATCCCGATGAAGAAGCATGTCCCCGTACCATACAGTACCATGCAGAGAAAACTGGCTATTCAGTCTGCCATGAATTAGGAATATAGTACCTGAAAGTCAACCCAGTGCCTTCCTTATCATTTGCCTATAAAAATATAAAACCCTGGCTTTGTTCTAAAACATGAAATCACTGTCAATAAAAATTCATAGGAATAAAATTAGTTTGAAGGAAACAAAATATTAAGAGAAGGTGGCACTGGTCAGCTGCCTAATCAATATTAATATTAAACTTTTCTAAGATGCATTAAGTTACAACAGTCAGTCCGAGCAACACTGTTTATGTTCTGACCGGCCTACGGAGTGCTGCTATTCTAAACAACCGTTCTATGACATAATTTTATTTTACATATATACAAATTCTGCTATTTATATACACATCATGGGACTGTTCCAGTCACTTCACCTCAATGACAGGGACTTGTCAAGAAGAACAGTTCTGGCTGGCTTCTTGCATTCAGCGAAGGCTCAAACATCCACTTCTTTTCCTTCTCTACTGAGAAGAGTTCTGGGAAATCTGAACACTTAGCTTGGTTTATGTGGGGGGTTGGTGGTGGGATGATAAAGACTAGGAAGGATCGGGGGATTATAAATAGTGTCTTTTCTGGAACACTTCAGATGTTGGCTACACCTTTGATTTCTCTGCTTCTACCAGGCTGTACGAGCCCTTCATGTTGGCTTTTCTTGCGAAGTAAATGATCACCCCGATGGCAGGTATTATCAAGGAGGAGGCACAGTAGAGGGCAAGGAGCTCGGGAGAAAAAATATTTTCTCTTCCTGGAAAATAACCAAATGGATGCAATTAATGTCCAGTACCAAAGGAAATAATTCAATCACAGTGTGTGTTTTATTGTAACAGTACGGCTAGCTCTTCAAAGAGCAAGGGGTAAAAGCTGTGCTGAGGACCATTGAGACTTATCAGACACATTTTTTTCCCCCTGAAATATCCAAATAAGTAGCTCATGGTTGCTATGCTCATGATAGGTACGAAGATAACAGTTCTTGGCTTTACAGACTTGGATTTTAAAAGATGGCTTTGGGTGGAAAACGGAAGGGAAAGCACACATTTTCGTGATCTGTTTTATAAGAACAGGAATCAGAAATAGCTAACAAAAGCCCCTGACACTTATTGCCATGAATTGAAATGCCTACTAGGGCTCCAAGACCATCTTTCTAACACGGAGAGTGTGGCCAAGACAGGGCACTCTTGTTGACGATTGCTGTGCTCTTATATGCAGCCTTCTGTGTGTCTGAAGCAAAAGCATCTTTTACAGATTATCCCCCTCCAGCACGGACAACCTCTCTTGATCTACTGATGGTCTTCAGATAAGTAAATGTCTTAGTTACTCAGAGAGTGAGTTCCCTGACCCACATCTCCCTTGTCATAGATTAATACTCCAATATTCCCTCAAAATCCAACCACTTTCATATTCCCCTAAGAGCTTGCAGTTCAACATTTATCCATGCATTTACCTGTTAAACTTGTTTTCTTTTCCTGGTTGCAAATTCTACAAACATAGTTATGTCTGGATGAGGTGCTCAGAACTAGCCATCCCTGAAGACACTACTGGGTACACAGAGTAACCCCCAAAATATTGAGTACTAATAAAGCTTTTCTTCCTAAATCCTATTATTTTGCCACACAGCCATAAATGTAGTACTAAAAATGACAATAGAAAATCTCCTAAGAAAGCATGTGACATCTGCAACCCCTCAACATCTAAGCCCCGTAAAAGCATCTCCAGAGAGCATGGCTTCTGTTTGTTTTGCCCACCACGGTGTGGTCTCACAATTACATTTTAATAAATGTAAGGGCATGTTGTCTGAGTCCTTCAAGGAATTAGCCATCTGATCTGAGGCATCGCTACATTCCTTCCGGGGCTTTCAAAACACAGAAAGTCACTCAAGTAGAAAAGACTCACTAGCACCACAGGAGAGAGCTGTCTCAAATTACTGAAGGAGGAAAATGATGCTTCACTTTCAGTACCATGATAATGGCTTCGTTTTTCTGCTTTCCTTTGGTAGAATTGATCTAAGGGTAATATTTTAATGGAATACTCATCATAATTATGGTTAGATATCAATATTGATGACACACTAGGAGGTATTTCTGTTTTCGTTTTCTTTACAATTCAATTATTATCTTTGCCTTTCAGCTTGTCCTTCAGACATCTGTTAAAAAACTCAAAATTGAGTCAGTTGCTAGGGCAATATTCTAGCACATTTTTCCTATTAATTATATAAGCCTTTAAAGTTTTAAAGAATCCTCATCACTCAGATCAATGGACTACATTTAAGCAAAAACCAAACAAGACAAAATAAATATAAATGTTCAGCTAAATACAAAGGAAAACTAGTCTTTCCAGAGTGAGAAACAGGTCAACTTTGGGTCTTTATTCTTACTCGGCTATTTGAAACCATCTTTGTATGTGGAAGCATGAATATCCAGCTGTGTGACCAACCCGCTCTCATTGTTCGTTTAAGGGATAAATTAAAGGTAGTAAATACACATGAGATTAATTAAACAATTAAAAAAGACAACATGTGAAAGAGAAAGTTAAAGAGGGAAGAAACAGTTTTCATGGTCTTGAGGAGAAACAGCCATGCACACATAGGATGACAGGAATCTTAAGGGTCCCTTTTCCTGTGGCTAGGCTACATTAGGGCTAGCCAGAGGTGCCAAGGATTAAGGAAAACAGAAAGGAATGGGGTTCAGTCTACTCCTAGTTGAGATCACTGGAGGCAACGGTGACACACACCGTGTCCCATTCTTTGAACACATGGTGGCTTCCTTGCCCAGATCATACGTTTTCAGGAAAGAAAATCACTGCAGGTTGGTGACCAGAAGTTTGACATATAAGTATGTTATTTCCCCATTTTAAAAACATCTCTAAGTGAATGTATCAATATGTTTTGAAGAGGTACTGTAAAGACAGAAAAAAAATGTATTCAAAGATCTGTAATCTTGAGAAATTTGGACAGACTGGTAAAATTTTTAACTTGGGTTCAGATTTTCTCTGCACTGATATGTGGTTGGTTAACTCTATGGTCAATGCCTGAGCTCCTCAGAGTTGGCATCCATTAGCAGTACCATTCTCTCTACCAGACTGGATTTCAAGATTCAACAGCCCCTTGGTATACAAAGGGTCGGAGGCTCGTTAGTCAAGGCTGGCATCAATAAAATTAGCAGGCACTCACAAGAGAGAACAGGAAATTGAGGAGTGCCAATATGTCTCTGATGGGGTTGAACCCCCCCTCTCCACCCCCCACCCCCCTTTCCTCTTTATCAGGTTAAAGTCGGACAACTGGGGCACGGATTTCAAAGGAAGCTCTTATGAAATCCAGAGATCCTGTTTAGGATCCAGGCCACTATCCCCAATTAGCATCCTCACAAAAGAGCCAGGCAGAAAATACGCAGTTTTTCTGTCCTCTGAAAACAGAGCTCCTTCCCCCCGGGGGAAGGGGGGGTGGGCAAGATGGGGAGAGGACTTTTTTCTGCTGTGCCAATCCCAGTTCCTTATTTTTCCTTTTACCCTAGGGGAAAGGCTGTAAAATGTGGCTAAACACTTAGCAAATCTAAGACCTCAGAAATCAGTGATGAATTGGCAACTTTGGGGGAAAAAAATAACAAGTGGGAATTCCACATTCACTGATGATTAGTGCCCACTTCCTGGCTAAACGCTACAGGCTGGAACAGCTGTGCCCGAATAGTTCAAGAAACATTAAGAAGCAACCAGTTAGCATGGATTTCAGTCTTCTTTCGCCAACACCCGTCTGATAGTAGAAACTGCTTGCTCTCCTCGGATACTTTGAATGCTTAAAATTATATGTATATATGAAACTAACCTTTTACATCAAGGGTTAAACTTCGTAACTGTGAGCCAACTTCGGTTTTAGATTCACACTCGTACACTCCAGCGTCCTGGAGCTGGGCCTTGCGGATGGTGTACGCGCCATCAACGGACTTTAATACCATGTCTCCTGTCTTGGCTTTCTTCTTTAGGATGATCCACGTTTCCGGCACGCTTCCACAGGTGCAGGAGATAATGACAGTGTCTCCCTCCTTCACGCTCTCAGAGGGAAAGACTGTGAGTTGTATATCTTTCGGAGAGCCTGAAGAGAGAACGGACAGTTAGTGTGGCTGGAGCGGAGGGTACAGCCATCGCATTCTGACTAAGAACCTCGGCAGCCGCTGCCAAACTGTTGGCGATGCCTTCTGCCTGAGCTGTAAAGAAAGCAAGCCAAGAGGCCGGGCATTTGCTCAATTCTAAAGGATCACATTGTAAGCAAGAGAAGACGTGTCTCAGGCTTCGTGTCTCAGGCTTCTTTCCTGTCCTTACCACGATTCTTTACCCAGCCAAGGACAAAAATTAGGTATTTAATAAGCAGGTGTAAAATCAGATGTGAAAAAAAAATATTTTTTAAAAAATCACATTGTTCACCAAAATTTTCCTTGAAGTGCATAAGCCTTATGAGCTAGGTGCTCCCTGACTAGGAAATTAAGATGTATACCATTCTTTAAGCTGTCTTTAAGAATGTAGTTACCAATTATCAAATTTCAAGGTCTTGGTTGATCTCAATTGAGGTAGAACATTTCTATTAATGTAATAAGCCTTAGAGGGGAACACCCAGTGTCTGTTTTATAAACACTTGCTTAAGACTATCTGTTTTGTCACTTTGAGTGTCCTCCTCCAGGACCACAGGGCAATGACAACCATACTCTGGCTTCCTTTTCTTTCAGATGGTCCCACAGTATAGTCCAGGCTGGCCTGAAAGTCTCCTAAAAGTTTTCTTTGAGATTATATATGATTCCCTTCCCAGGTTCTTCCTTTGAATTAAAGACCTCAGTGGCATGAGGAAGTGACCACAACAAAGCCCAACACCCCCCTTAAAAGGAATAATAGCACGGGATACAAAAGAGCGCAACCCCAGTGTCCCCAGAGAGAAAACATGGGTAAAATGAAAGCTGATGACTTTATAATTTTGTTCATTAAAGTCCAAGGCTTCAATATGCCAAGCAGAAACTGCTGTGTTCTCAATTTGAGGTCTTTATCGTTGAGAAGGGACACCTATATCTCTATTTGCCCTAGTGATTCTGTGCCAACGGGCTGAGAGGCCCATGGGCACAGTGACTGTGATCCTTAATCTCAGAATTTACAAAGGGTACCCTCTTGGGCTTCTAAACAAATCCTAGGCAGCTTCTTGGGACTTGCTTCTCGGGATCCCATTAAACCCAATGTGATGGTTTTGATACTAAGTAATTCCCTACCCTTATTTCTTCACCAAAACCACAATCTCATAAGTGTCCCTGAACTTTCAGCTTAGCTTCTAGGGAGAGCATTTCATTCGAGGAGAATAGGATTTTAGGGCAAGTGATTTGACCTGAAATGAGAGTTCATCTCAGGAGCATCAAGGAACAATTTTTTTTTTTTAATTTATTTTTTTACTTTACTTTTTTTTTTGCACATAAAAACAATTTTGAAATGAGGGTTCTTTTTTTTTTCTTTCTTTTTAAGATTTATTTTTATTTTTGAACTATATGTATTTGTGTGTGTCTGTGTGAGGGTACCTTCAGTGACCATGGAAACAAGGAGAGGACATGAGATCCCCTGGAGCTGGAGTTACAGGCAGTTGTGAGTGCTGAGACCAGAACCCGGATCATCTGTAAGAGCAGTCGGCACTCCTTGCTGCTAAGCCATCTCTCTAGCCCCGAAAGGTTTTGTTTTCAAAGAGGACCTTGTTCACCATTGGTAACTCAATAGGAAATGTACTAGCTATTAATAATTTAAAAGTCTTTCTCTACTTACCTTGGATAATCAGTTCAACTGATTTTTTGCTAATTCCAGCCTGGTTAATCCCTTCACAGACATAAATGCCAGAATCTTCCAGTTTTGTAGACATTAAGGTGAGCGTTGTATCTTCAGAAAGAGGTTGCAATTCCCCGTTATTCAGCTGCCTGCTCCACAGGATTTTTGGAGCTGGAAAGCCATCGCTTGAGCAGGTGAGGTTCACGGGACTGCCCTCCTCTAGGATGGGAGAAGGACTGACCCAGATGGTGGTTTCCTTGGGGGCAACTGAAAAGGAAAAGACACTTAGCTTGACTCTCTTATGCCTCGAATTCCAAAGAGTCTGGACAACGCTGTAAAACCTGGCAAAGGGATCTGGATTAGCATAGTTTGTAAACTGTGATAGCCCGCCCAGAAGTTTCTGTGGAGGAGACACAGTGAGAGTTAGAACCCAGACGAAGTGTGGATATTTTCCAATGGCAGAAAGTGCTGGAGAAACTGATGTCAAAGCACAGAAAGTCAGTGTAGTGTGTAGTGTCTGAGTGACATGGTGGATTAGAAGCCTCTATGAGACCCTGTGAAGAAGAGCCAGGGTGAGAGAGAAGTGACCCCGTTTCTCAGGGAGAAAGGAGTAGAACGCTTTAGAAACACACACACACACACACGAAGGGGTATTGGGGAGAGACTTAAAGGTCAGTGATATGTATGGACAGAGCATGATGTACTGGAAGATTCCCTGTGAATAAGAAAAACAGTCGGCTACCCTTTGAACCCGGGTTGATCATTTGCCCAATAGGAAGTCTATAGACGGACATGGGTTGGGGGAAGTGCTCCTGGCAGGCCTTTATGAGGCTGACATCACCACCACCTTTTCTCAGCAGTGTTCTGGAGAGTAAATCTAGGCTCCCTTCCCTGGGGGAAACCTAACCACACTTAAGAAACAACAGGTTGGGGCAAGGTCATAAGGCTCAGACACTTAAGTGACACTACCTGTGACAAGCCAGCTGCTAGCCGGGCTGAAGATGACTAACTGAGCTCTACTGATTCTCTCTGAGGCTGAGCAGCTGCCTGGCTGGCCCATTCCTGAATGCTAACACATAGAATCACACATAAATAAATGATTTCTCTTATATTATGGAAGATGGTTTGTTATCATCACTCCTATCTTGAATTTTCTTTTCCGTTTTCTTCACAGAGGTTTTCATTGTTAACCTTCCGTTAGCTATTACCTAGTGGACACAACAAAGAAATCCACATTCAGTTGTGGCTGCCCCATGGATGTCCTTACCTTGGATATAAAGAGTCTGTGTACTCTGCCTTTGTTTGGGTTCAGATTCCATTTGGCCACTGTGTAACTTAGCCAGGCAAACAAGCTCGTTCCCAGTATCTTCACTGGTGGGGATGAAGGTCATTTCCAAACTTTTGGTCTCTAAGGATTTTATGCCCATTTCCTCATTAAAGTGTTTACTCTTCAGCGAGGTCTCCCCCTTCAGTAACTCAATCTCCAGATGGTCAAAAGGATACACGTTAGGAACTGTGCAGTTTATGGTGACAGGCCTCCTGTGCACAAGGGGCCCGCTGATCTCAATTTCTGGGTCTTCGGGAAATGCTGCAAATATCAAGCAAAAAAAAAATGTTAATATATGGTAGTCAAGGGAAAATTGGGTCAGACAACACTACATGCAAAGGCCTCAGAGTGGCAGCTTTTGATCAGCTGGGAAGAGTATGGACGTGAATAGTGCCATTGGCTATAACAGTACATGTACAATATTAATTGTAAATAATTGGGACAAAATACTAAGTATTTTAAGTCAATGAATAATAGATGCTTTTCCTTCTTATTTTTCTCTTCTAATGATGCCATCTTGCCTGTCCTTCTCTAAGGGCACACGACCCCTGCCATCTTACCAATGCACTTTATAATTTAAATGTTTTAGATCTTGGTCATGATATAGTGACTACTAAATATGAACTAATCCCCCCAGCTTTCATTTTTCTCCTTTCTGAGAAGCCTGATTACATGGTTATTATTTAACTTATTTTATCTCTAGACAAAGAAACTTACAGGGACGAATTGAGACTTTTCATTTTATATCAGACCTAGTCAAAATCTGTCCTCTGACCTAGGAGTCTTGGCTACAGGTTTTCAGTCTCAAATGAGACTCACAGTGCAGCTTTCAATTTGGACAGTATATCGAAATTTGGATAGTTTGTTTTTTGACTAAATTTAGGTTATGAGTTTTAAATACTTTTCAGAAATTATTTTCTTCCTTTTTTTTTTTTTTTTTTGAGACAGGACCTAGGTCAGCCTGGAACTCTCTATGTAGACTAGGCTGGCCTCAAACTCACAGGGCTCTTTCTCTTCTTCCCAATTGGGTAACTCTTGTAATTAAGAATAAAACTACATCTGGGCATGAAGGCATATGCCTTTAATCCCAGCACTTGGGAGGCAGAGGTAGGTGGATCTCTGAGTTCCAGGCCAGCCTGATCTATAGAGTGAGTTCCAGGACAACCAAGGTTACACAGAGAAAACCTACCTCCCCCCCCCCCAAAAAAAAAGAAAATAAGGAAAGGAAGGAAGGAAGGGAGGAACGAAGAAATGAATGAAGGAAGGAAAGAACTGACTAAATATTGTAATATTGTATGTTTTCTCACATATGTGAAAGCCAGACTGAAGCAGTTAAAGAGGAGGGAGACATGGAGAGGGCAATGAGAAAGGGGATGAACTAAGAAGAAAGCATAATTGACACAAACACATGAAGATGCCATGATGAACGCACTTGCTTGTTTGATAACTTTAAACATCAATAAGAAAATGTAAAAGAACTATCCTAACTGTATTATTTAGAATCTGAGTCGTTTTTCTCTCATCTACAAAACATTTAGAAGACATCCTATGTAAATGAACAAAAATGACACCAAAATAACTATCAGCATAAAAATGATACCTAAAAAAGCTAAACATTTTTTCCATAAGTAAAACCTTCTTAACGTGGTAAATTTTCAAACACACCCACAATGCAATATGCTGTCACACTGTTCCAACTTCTGTTGGGAATGTGCCTACATCAGCAGACCCAGGACTCCGGGTAATATGATAAAGCAATAAAGTTTACCCTCCTTTTGAGAGATTTAACTCACTTAACAGGCACACTCTTACTCTAAAGAAAATCCTGAAAGTTAGCACATGTTTTGCAGGGTTTTAGATGGGAGAACTTTACAATATGTTCTCTGGGTTGACGAGTAAAGCAGGGCAACCCCACTCTCTCTGCAAAATAACCTTGCAGTCACAAGGTTGCTATAAAGTTCATTCCTCATTCAGTGTAGACTGAGGGCTTCCAGCCACGTGAAATTCATGGAGATTGGAGGTTGGGAAGGATTTTATTAAGGTGACAGCAAGGGGGAGACAGGAGAAGGCGTGTCATTTGTTCACTGTGTAGATCCGTTTTAAAGGATGCTATTGACTCTCGGTTCTGTAGCAGTTACGTATTAAAACCATCCCATACTCAGACTAAATAAAACCTATCTCCATTTCTGGCCCACTACTCTTTCTTATTGTCCCCTCACCCGAATCCTGCAGATCAGCTTTTCAAGTCTGCCTTAAAACAATAGACTGCTTCCCCTATTTCTCCCTCCCCCCACCTCGATGGCTGCTTCCCATCCCCATAGGCTTCCCACTCCTTCTTTCATGAAAAAAATATTAATATTATCTAACATATTATATGCTTATTTTAAAATAATATACTTATTATGTATACTATATCAAGCACAGGGCATTTATCATATATAGTAATATATGATGCATTATTTTAAATGTATTATATACGTACAATAAAATGAATACTATATCTGATCAGAAGCCTGACTATTTGGGAAGGAAACGGGGATAGTGGGTGGGAGGAGAAGGGTTGAGACACCATAACAGGGGGCTGAATATAAACAAAGCAAGGGACCAGTTATTTTCTGTTCTATTAAAATAATAAATATTACACACAATAAGGTTATCTTTCAAAAATGAAAGAGAAATAAAGACTTTTTAAAGTGCTCATGAAAAGCAAAACACAAAACACCCTGGGCTGGCAGGTTGAAGCTGTAACTCAATGGCAGAGCGCTCTCGTGGTGTGTGTAAAGCCCAGCAGTCCATGCCCACATTTCAAAGCAAAATGAAACAAAACAAAAGGCACGCTGGAGTTCACCCCCAGTTTGAGTAGGTGAGGCAGTCACCCCCTCACCGAGTCCTTATCTGAATGGACGCAAGGCCCTGGCTGCTCTCACTCACCCCCTCCATACACCCTATATACATGTGGCAGTGGGGGAAGCATAGCATGGGGCATGCTCACGTGCACGAGGAGAGTAGGACCAGTCACTCAGTATGCGCGTGTCTGTAAACAAATGCAATATGTACTGGAGAGCGGGACCAACTGTATTGCATCCAACAGTGTTCAGAGATCGAGGGATGCCAAACCTCTCTCTGCACAAATGGATTTCCTTACACAGTCACATCCCTTTTCTTCCAAAGGAACAAGAGGAAAGGGAAGCAATCAATGAGTCATCCATTTTGAAAAGCACTTACAGTAGACCTCCACCTGGATTTCCTTTTCCAGTTTCCTCCGAGCACAGGTCACAGTGCACAGGTAAGAGTTTTCGTTCTCAAAGCTCACGGGGCTCAGTGTCAGTGTGGACGTGGCCCCCGCTCGCCTCACCTCCCCGTTAAGGGAACCGTTTGTCTGAGTCCTCCAAGAAAAAGTGGGGGAGTCACAGCCAACAACAGCGCATGTCAGTACAACTGAGTCTCCAACCTGCGCAGCCACCCAGGATCCGGGGGAGATGTCGACAGTTAATGGTTTCTCTGAAGAGGAAAAAAAAAAAAGAAAGAAAGAAAGAGCAAGATGAGTAACAGATAAGATTCTTTTCTTATTGCGTCATATTCCCATATTCCATGTTTCTCTTCCTTGATCTCTATTCAACGACTCTCTGTGCCAAGAAAAAAATTGGTCCTTTCCATCTTGGAGCCATCAGGAATAAGAGCACATCTTTGAAGGAGGAACCCATGATGCTGTGTTGACTCCGGCTGCCAGAATCAGTGTAGATAACAATTTGTCAAGAACGTGGTTGGCATCTTTTCAAAGCAATAAGCCAATCTCTGCTCTATGTAGTCCATCAAGTCACTGTGGTTGAAGAGGACCTCAAATTATCCAGCAGTTTCTGTGTGTCAAGCATGCTGCATTCTGCTTTATATGCATGCATCATCTCTCTTAATTCCCAGAAGAGTAATTAACTGGTACTATTATTTCTTTGCTACTTTCTTATTCTTCTGCTCCTGTATTTTACCCTGCTCTTCTTCTGTCCTTTACGCCGTTTTCTTCTTTAAGACAATTAGACTCAGAAGTGCTCAGTGGCTTGAGCTAAATTTGCAAGTGGAGTAACTGGGACTTGCTGTAAGATGGGTCTGACTTGAGAGCCCAGTTTTTCTCTTCCTACAACAACTAAGTCAAGTTGTCCTCATGTGAGATAAAATGAGATCTAAAATGATTACAGGAGAAACTGCACCAAAATGCACTATCCTTAATCCTTCATATACATCTATATAATGGAAGTCCAATATAAAATACTATTTTTGAGGATCACACAGCATCACACTGAGAGCAAAAGAATGATGTCGGCATTAAGGTGGCATCAAATATGTTTGATGCATTCTCAAAAGACTTTATTCCGGGTAGAAAGCTAAGTGATCAGGACAAACACCCGAGACTCAAGCATCCAAAAATGTTCTTAACTTCCAGGCACACAGTCTTGGATGAAATGACATATCTTGAGAGAAAGAATTCTGAATCTTGGTGTTGTTCCTCTGAAAATCCTGGAAGTGGTTGGGCAACTCAGCACGTGACAGATGAATCTCCAAAGAAAATCACTAGAATGCTCTACCAAGCCAGACACAGGAGGAAATCTCGGCACACAATAAAAATATACTCCATTTTATGTGGTTCTTTTCTGTACCAGGAAAAGTAGCTTTTCTTCTTTTAGTTTGTGTATTTGTGGTATAGTATTATTTTTTTTCAAAGAAGTTTCTTCTCAAATTACCTCCAAATAAATTACATGCTATTGGATTTTTGAGAAAATTATTCATAACAGTTACCAAGTTATCTAAGTTCCGTCTATACCAGTGTGAGAATGAGGAACTTATCAGGAGATTCACTTCCTGCCTGCAAGGAGCTGACATCCCTCACTGTGTGTGCCTGGAGCTGCTGGGGAGAAGCCCTTGAAAGGGCCAAAAGACCCTTCCAACTTTAGCACGGTCAATTGAGGCTGTTAGTCACTCATGCACTATAATACAAGCCCAGAACACAATGATTCCTTTGCCCCATTGAAAAGGGGCCCAGCATATGGGATGCAACTAGTCTAGAATAGACACTGAGCCTCCCACACTTTTAGCCATACATCTTCTCTGACCATGTGGGAATAGGAATCACGCACCTGAGCTAATCAGCTGATGATGTTCAAATTCTACTTTCTTCTTCTTTATCTAAACTTAAAATCCACGTTTTCATGGGTTTAGAAATGTATTGTCCAAGTTTATAGTTTATGCTTTAATTCAGCTAACATGTGTTAAACACTTCCTGTGTGTCGGATGCCATTCTAGCCACTCACTCATTACTTCAAAGACATACACACAAACACAGTGAGTTCCTGGGTTCTGAGTTGAGAAGCTTGCAGTTTAATGAACATACACATTCAAATGCATACATTTTTCTGCTCTTACTAAAGAATGTACTTTGATTTCGCCACTCCTTGGTGTATAAATAGACCAAAATACCACACCATACACAATGTATACACAATAATTTTGATTGCCCAGCTGAAATGTTAGCTATAATTGAAAGAGCATGGGATTTTGATTTAAGAGGACTCTGTAAGGGCAGCAACAAGCCATTCGACCATGTGCAAAAAAAAAAAAAAATGATGAGTTATATTGCACCTGGGCTTCTCATCTACCACACAGCACATGGTAAACACTGAGATAGCAGATGATGGAGAGTGCAGAACTCTTGGCAAACATTGGCTGTACAGTCAACTGATGGCCACTATTAATCTGAGACTCCATTCTCCCATCTGTAAAATGGATAGAAAATACCCCTTAGTTATTTCTTGAAGACTAGATAGCTTCTATAAAGTTCCAGAAGGCCAGTTTGGTCTGGGGAGATGCCGTTGCTTCAGAAAATCTTGCACACTCTCAAATGAGAAACCGTAAGCTAAGGCAAAGGCAAGAGGGCTGGCTGGAAAGGCAGTCAGGGCAGAGGGAATCATGGTGAGGTAGAGGGGTCAAGAGTAGGTCACTTGGAATGGGAGCATGTATTCGGTAATCACAGCTATGTAGCTGACTATATGGAGTGAGAAGACTGCGTAAAGCAGCGTGAGGATGCTCCTATCCAAAGGGCAAGAGAAGGGGACCAAGTTGGGAACTGAGACAACAGTGAAATGGCGAGAGCTACTGAAGAACCAGTGTGGAGGTTCTGAGAGAAAAGAGTTCCCAAAAAAACGTGAGCTTGCTAAATATATAAGTACGCTGAAGCACATGTCTACCAGACGGGTCGTCAAGCAAAGGCAAGGAAAGATTGTCAGCACTGGCATTGTGTGGCTATTGCTCAGCTCCCAACGATGGCACCTCTTCACCTTCTACTCACCTTGAACAGTTAATTCCACCTCTGCTTTATTTCTCCCGACCAGATTAACTCCTTCACACACGTAATTTCCAGAATCTTCCGTTCTCATAGCAACTAAGGTAAGAGTTGCATTTCCTGAGAGGAGCTTCAGATTTCCATTATCTAATTTCTTGCTCCAGAAAATCTCGGGAGCTGGTAAACCCTCACTGGAACAAGTCATCGTCACAGCATCACCCTCTTGAAGACTTCTGGAGGGATGTACAGAGATAACTGTATTCTTGGGAGAGGCTGAAAAGGTAGAACATAATATGAGCTGTCATTCAGCGTCGTCTTCACCCAATGGGGATGATGTATTTCTCTCGTAGACTGTACTTACGTGTCTCTACAAACTTGACAAACTTACCTGCCAAGTGAGAGTCAAGAATCACCGAGTCATTTAAAAAAAAATGAGCCAATCTAATTTCTATCCAGTTAATTATAGTTCTTGATATCTGATGTTTTCAGGGAGCCACAGGTAGGTGGAAATTAAGAGAAGCCCTTCAAGTTTCATGGTTCAGTCTCTTGCCTAAGAACTGGAATCCTGAGGAAGAATCTTTGCCAAAAGCACATCCAAGCTTCAGCACTTACTGAGGGAGACACCCTACGCAGGGCCATCAAATTGGCATTTGAATATCATTAATTACGTAAAAAAGTCTCTCACTGAGTTGAAATCTTCCTGGAAGTAGCTAGCATTTGCACAAAGGTCGTAGTTTAGTCCTGTGCTCTTATGGATAAATGGCAATGCTCTTCTCCGACTGCTTTCAGAGGCTTAACTATACCTCTGTCTCAAAGTGTTGTATTCTGTGAGGAGAAATAGCCCCTATCTTGACTGGTTTCTCAAAAGGTTGTTAGAAGCTTTTTTCCATCTCATTATGCGTTGGGTAAACCTAGTGTACTTGACACCAACTCTTTCCAACTTAGGGCTCAGAGTAGAAAACATTTTAGTTTGAACAGAGCACCATGAGTTAATTAAAGACACAATTCTAATATAAGAAGAAGCTTCAGATCCACCAGCAGTCTCCAAAACCTGGAAGACAAACCCTAACACCTGCTGCGTGTGTGTGCATGTCACCACACTCTTGTACACACGCACACGCACACACACACACACACACACAAAGTAATCCTCTTGTAAATTTTGTATGTCTGTGAAACCAATGTTTCAAGGCTTATTATAAAATTTTATACAAATTTTATCATTTGAGCCCACTTCCTACAATCCAAGCAGATAGTGTTATGTTGATTCCTCCTTGATAAACAGGAGAATAGGAGTTGAATAATCTTTTTTTTTTACAAATATGGATTTATTTTGAAAAAAAAGTAAATAAGCAGACAGTTGTGTGTTCCCTCAATATAAACATTTTAGTAAGGACCATGAAGAGAACAGCTCAACAACCTCCCAAATGTATAAAAGGCAAAAATTCTGTGGTCTTAACATCACTCAGCTAACAATGAGGCAGGACACTCAAGCGCTCTAAACCCAAACCCAGTATCCTATTCTTTTAACAATAGCATTCATAAAATCATGTCTTAAGTAATGTAGTAAAAGCTGCACGTTTCTTGTTAATCTATTTGATACATTTCTTGTAACAATAAACAAAATAATACATATCTGGGACTGAATTCCCATAAACCAGGGCTCCTCATGCAAGTACTTACTGTAGACTTGCAGTGGGTTGCCCGTCTCCCTCTTTTGGGGCTCAGGCTCAATGTATAAGTTAGCTCGGCAAACAAGAGCCTTCCCAATATCCTCAAGGCCAGGAGTAAAGGTGACTTCCAAGCTCTTGATTTCCAGAGACTTCTTCTCCATCTCTTCTGCAAACATCTCTGTCTTCAGGAGTTGGTCACCTTTGAAGAGTTCCATTTCCAGTCTGTCAGATGGGTAAACATCAGAGGCCAAACACTTGACCATGACAGGCTTCCCAACCTCCAGGGGACCACTCAGCTGAATCTCTGGATCCTTAGGGAATGCTGCAAAGCCAAGCAAACACACAAGTAGGTTTATAGGCTCCTGTTGATAGCATCTCTAAATGTTTTAACACAACACAAGTCAAAACAAATGTTTTTGTTAATACTAGGCTTAATTCAGCATAGCCAATTGTTTAAATAGCAAGTCACGGTTCGTGGTGGACTTGGGAATCACGAATCAGAATTAACCACTTTTGAAAGGCCATTTCCGTTTTAATCTTGTAACTGTTAAAAAGTATGTGTTACTGAAGGAAAGAAGAACGAAAAGCCTAAAATCTATTGAAACTCTGCAATAGATGTAACTTAAAGGGCTTTGCTCTCTCTTTGCTGTAACACTGGGTGACAGAGGCCACATTTCATAGATAAGGAAGCTTGGACATAGTGTGATTGCAGAGCCAGCCTCTGTCACGCAGCATGGTGAGGTGGGGGAGCAAAGCTCATGCGTCTGTCACTCTGCAATGCAATTCCAGAGACATATTACACCCTGTTCTCTTATGTTAGTGCAGGTACAGTTCTAGACGAGAAACCCAGCATTCAGAATGACATTGTAAAGGAGTTTCACTGTGTAAGACCGCCTACAGAATGAAGAGAATGACCTTAAGGGGGGACTGGCTTCTGAAAATGGGATCTCTGATAAGAATTCATCCACCAGAGAGGCATTCATTCCTAAGAGAGTGCTCCATACTGGATTCATTCCCCCAAAAGCCGAACTCTGTGTTCTGACCAGCACTCTATTGAACCCACCGGCACAGTGGAACACAGCACGTTGCCCCTCCCCCGTTTACACAGTTTTTCATATGCATATACATATGTATATGATGCATATATCATGATGGGGTGTCATTGGCACCCCAGTACCACAGAATATTACAGTCAAATGTGGAATAGAGACTGAACTGTTAAATACAATGGGAAACAGGCTCTCTTGCAGGAAAAAAAAAAAAACAGGCTACATAATTAAATCCAGAAGGTTCCTCACTTCTCTTTTTTAACTCTCCAACAGTACTGTACTTGTGGGTTAAGGCAAAGGAACTGAAAATGCTTTATTATCTAAAAACATAGTATTTTAAATTTCCCCTTCAATTATTTATGTCCGTCACGGTCTTCAGGAAATGTGCCTGGCATCCACACGTTTCATGACAGGTAACCTAAGAACTTGCCATTCTTCCCGATATTTATATAACAGGACCTTGCACGGAGCTCAGGAGGCTGCCCAGACATAAACTATGCATACACAGCCAGGGTAATTGAAAGCAGCCGGCCAAGCGCAGCTGCTTGGGAAGCCCAGCTCCACAAGAAGCTTGCTGAAATTTCAGTGAAGGTTAATGGACAAAGGCAGGCTTCAGCACAGTAGGAAGGAACCAAGGTAGTTAGAGGATGAATCAAACGCGAAGAAATGCCTATGTGAGTACGTTCTGGGGTGAGGGAAGAGATGCTGTCTATAACCAAAGACAAACCGTTTCTATAGGATTCACTATCCCCCTCCCCTTTGCTGGTTCTATTTGCTGAGTTGAGGATAGGGATGGGATGTGTTTGAGGTAGGCTGGTGTAATATGGGTACCTGTTCATATTCCTGAGACAAATCTAATTTATTAGATGAAAATCCTTTGGGCTGGAAAAACCAAGGCTTTATGGCAACAACAACAACAACAAGAATTCTCAACTTTATCAGTGTTAGATGAATGAGATGTTCATGGATGTTATGGTTATGTCTAGAGAGGAGGCTTGTATACTCATAAATCTGAGTCTGCAAGCACATCTTAAGCTCCAAGTTGCATAAGAATAAGTAAATGGAAAATACCAGAAAGCGAGACATCATCAATCTTCAGATGCATGAGCAAGTGAACATGTAGAAATACAGGCAGATGAGAGGTTAAAGGAAAAAATGAACAGAGCCTATGAGATGCTCACATTTCGGCTAAGGATTGGACCGAAGAAGATGCTAGTCTTTGGCAAGGGCACCATTTTTTTTTTCATAGCAAACAAAGACACAGAGGTTAAAATTCGGATTCTTCTTCTCATCTTGCTCCTCCTTGTCTCTGGCTTTATTGAAACTATCTAGCAAAGAATCTAGATACACTTAACTCCACGTATCATTAATATTTTCTTCAAGCAGCATCGAGAGAAAACCAAACCTCTTTGGGGGCACTTACAGTAGATGTCCACCTGGATCCCTCTTTCCTGTTTCACCGAGCCGCAATATACTGTGCACACGTAAAAGTGTTCATTCTCAAAACTGACAGGATCCATGGTCAGGATGGACGCCGTCTCATTTTTCCACATCTTCGCACTGAGCGGACTGTCTATCTGGGTTCTCCAAGAGAAAGATGGGGACGCGCAGCCTGTGGTTTTGCAAGTCAGGGACATGGAGTTCCCAATCTGAGCCATTGTTTTATATGCAGGGGAGATCTCAACTTCAAAAGCTTGAGCTAAAACAGCAAGGGGGGGGGGGAATAAAAAAGGAACTTTACTCTGGTCTGTCTCATGCTGTATTTTTTTTTTCTCTCTTGCATAGCAATGCAGTGTTTAAAACACAGCCTGGGGGGATCTACTTTTTAAATTGCCTCAGGCAGCCCCAAAGCCCAGATGTTGCTGTTGAGGAAGGTGCTGGGATCCTGACCATGAAGAAGAATGCTCAGTCAGACTTTGAAGCCCATTGAGCAACGCAATTTTGTTACTTTCTAAGTTTGACTTTGTGGTCAAGTACAGAATACTAAAGAGATAGACCTACTACCGATATAATCCAAATTTCTCAGTTAACATTTGAGAAGGGTATCAAAACACATCCATCTGTAGCTCTGTCAAAACTAGTTTTACAGCAAAACTTTCTAGTACACCCAAAGCTGTGGACCAGTAAAACAGGTCAGGGACTTACAAGCTGCAAACAGTATCCAAAGTACCGTTGAGGCTCCAGAGATCGTGACCATCTTCTCAGGCATTTCAAGTCGCTGCTGGGGTGACGAAATGGAAGCTCCAAAGCCTTCTTTGTGTCCCACGTGAAAGTGTCTGGGAAAAGTGTTCAGCTTCCAAAGCCAGCCAGGCTGGTGTGAGTGAAATAGAAAGTCTGCTCTTATTTATAAAGGGTCTTGCTGGAGAGGCGGAGGGAAATCCCTTCAAGGGGAAACCCAGGGCAGAGCCAGAGAAAAAAGTTTAACTGACAGCCGGCCAAGTCCCCAAGTTAACCCCTTCAGCTGCTCTCAGCGCTGAAGTCCCTCTGAGTCCCGGGAAACAAGGCACTTCCAAGTCCATAAATCTCGGGCTTTTCCTGACTTGCAACTCCGAAAGGGTTCTTTCCTGAAAAGATACGAAACAAATATCATTGCAAAATGAAACTGCCCACAACGTGTGTGTGTGTGTGTGTGTGTGAGAGAGAGAGAGAGAGAGAGAGAGAGAGAGAGAGAGAGAGAGAGATCATCAGAGGAAGGGAGGGGGGGGAACAGAGATGACCAGGTAAACACCCACTGACTTTTCTTCATTAAAGAAATATATTTGCATTTAAAAAATAGAAATTATTCTCTTTTGACAAAAAGGAAAATATCCTTTATTTGCATGAGATACTCTGTAGAATGGGAGAAAGTATAGCTTCTTAATTTTAAGAGTCTCTATTCATAAGTGTATTTTTGACACAAAAATCAACTCTCTGAAATAATTTTTCTCTAAAGTAAAAAATACAAGGATGTTGATGGAAAACTAAAGGAATTAGTTTTCCCCAGCCCTTTGGCCCATTGCTGGATAGCTAGAAGTCCTTCGCAGTCTTAAAAGCAGAAGAATGGGATCTGTCTAATAAATCTTTGTGGTAAATTTCTTTGGCTGCATTATTTAGCCACATGTCCAGTTCAAACATGTAAAGAGGTTTGCTTTCTGTTGTAGGAGATGAAATGATAATCAATTTTTATTATTTTCTCGTTCCAGTGAAAAGACTTTCTAAAGACTCAATTAATTGTCTCCATGAGCCTTACGCATGCATAGCCCATGTCCTGGCAAAATGCTTGCCCATCAAAAAGAAACCGGAACAGCCACTTCCTTGTATTATACACGTGCAGGTCTACCTCCCACACTGCATTATCAGTTCCCTTCATGGCCAGGACTACTACTTAGATACTTAGTGCATGGGTTTGCATGTAGGGACTATAAAACTTGGAAGAGTAAAAGTGAAAAATCTAGAAAAGAAACTTTTAAGATACTAACCACAGTTCAAAAGTGTCACTTGAAAAAAAAATAATTCTGCAAGAAAATTGCAAAGTTCCAGGATATTTAGGCATATGTAAAATAAACAATGCCATGTCATATGACAAAGGCCATCAATTGAGATCTGCAATCTCCAACTGCCCCTTCCAGGCAAGAGACACTTCAGGACTTTCTCTTGGAAATGCATATGGCTCCCACTGACAGACAAGTAGAAAAAAGTAGTTGGGTAATATATCCTAGTGCTATGGTGATATATCCAGGAATCAGTGAAATTAGCTGCCAAACAAGTAACCTGGGGGATTTCAACAATGCTCATGCCATGAGAAAGGACTATTGGCTTTATAACCATTGCTACTCAACTTTGGGTTGGATCAAAGGCATGTATAAAATTTTAATTCCATTCCTTTGACGTTCAAAAGTAAACAACTACTGGGAATCACTCAAACCCATGCTATTTGGTATCAATTTTCACCCAAGTAAGTGGAAGAATAATTCCTGTCGGGAGAGAGGAATAGTAACTACAACAGAGGAAGTGAAGAAAACAATTTGGTGAATTCCACAATGTCAAATCCTTCCTCATTTGAGAATCACTACTCTAACATAGCCGAAGGACCTCTCTGTAGCTCCATCTATGGAAATCTTCTATAGCAGTTTTATTAGAGGCCCAAGGGCCTGAAGTTGGAAGCTGAATCGATCGTATAATGAGGACCAAGATAAAATCAATCCTAATCCTGCAGTCCTTATGCGACTAATCCTCATGATTCTGCCATGTCTACTCCTCACCAAACACTGCATCCAAGTTTCAGGCATGACATGTGAGAAGTAAAGGGCAAGAATTCAAAATCAACAGAGCCTGTTCTCTTTGAAGGAGCTTCCCAAGAAGTCTCAAGTAGTGGATTCCATCAACATCTCACTGAAATGCCCCAAGTAAAACAAGATTCTGTTGGCAAGAGCTGGGGAGTGTGGAGGAGGATGGGTGATGAGTTAGGCAGGCATTAGCAATGTAACCATTTTCTAATTCAGTTCAGCTTACATAGTATTTATTGAGACCCCATGTTTGCATTAGGAATAAGTAAATGCCAATGGGGAATGCAGTTTTTAGAATGAAGAAAACCTTCATGGTGTCAATAAAAGACTTTAACATGGCTCAAAAGGTGACTCAATAAAGGGACCATTGATCTGACTGCAACTCCAGAAACAAAATCTATCTCGGTGAACGGATGCAAGTTTAAGATCTTGTAAAGCCAAATTACACGTGCTAAGAAATCAAGTTCCATGAAGTTTTTATGACATTCAAGGATTTTGGAGAAAAAGGTTACTTATATATACCAAGAGTGAAAAAGTATATTCAACAAAATGCATACACAATGTGATGTTCCTTGAATTTTAATGAGGACGTTTTGTTACGTATTAAGAAGGTTTTCAGCACAAAAATGTTTCTCTCCCCTTCATAAATTCACAGGAGAGGTTTGACTTTTGCCATGGGTGCTTTGCCAGTGTCACGTGTTGGCACACGGTAATTCAAGTGAGCAGCGATGTTCTTGTCTATTTCAGCTCTCCTTGGGGTGACCCCCATGGTCACCCTTCCGTGAAGTTTTACAAACTCATCTTGCTTTGAGATGATCCTACTCTTCCTAACATGGACATCACTGTCTCAACAGACTTTACTCAGCCCTTAGAAGTCCTTCATGATCATTTTCAGATTTTACCTGCGCTGATGTTGCTTCTGTTTCAGGTGTCAATGAAGTGATATCAGATCAATGAAACATTCTTTCTGGGGCAATAATTTAAGACATTTTTTTTTCAGTTTCTAGTAACTCTTCATGCTTTTGCAATTCTTCACCTAACCAATCAACTGAAGTGCACTGTCATCATTGCTTTTGAGCTATGGGAGACGTAGGTGAGTGTTTCTGTCTTTATAGTCACATGATCAGGAAACACAGAAGTTTGATTGGGCAAGATCAGACAGGGAGTGATCCTGACCATGAGTACAGAGGAGTTGAGTTTTAAACCCAAATTTCTTACTCAGGGATCTCTGCGTGGTACACTCTACTATGCCAAGTCACCTGTCTGTGAGTGGGTACCACCTTTCCTTTAAGCATCAATGCCATCATGAGATTTCATTGCAATGGGACAGTTTGACTATGGTAGGCATTATGACCCGAGACCATACCCATTTCTCAGTGATGACTAAAAGCTTCACAGTATCACACTTAGAGCTACACTTAGCACTCCAAATCTTCTGTAGTTAGCCACAAACAAAAGATATGAGCATAAGAGATATGGTCGTATGGGAACACCCTAGCAACTTGACTGTGAATTCAAATGTAGAATTCCTTTTGGCCTCTGCTGGAGCTTAGAAGGGAAATTTGTGAAGTCCCTGAGCCTGTAAACAGCCCCCTCCTGTGATCCAGTAGCTGTCTCCAGTGGATCAAATGGGAGGTTTTGTTTTGTTTTGTTTTGTTTTGATGAGAGCCCCATTTACCTTCCTTCAATCATGCAATCTGACCCCAAATAAGCTTCAGTTCTCACTCAGAGGATTTGAGAAAATATCCAGGTCTTCACCCATGCTAAATGATTGTAAAACAAGTGTTTACATTAGTGAGGGGAGGCCTGGAGAGGGCATGTCATGAGCTGGCAGTAGACAGGGATGACTAAATACATAAAAATTAACAGCCAGTAGTGGGAAAGAAAACCATTGGAAGCCACGTGTGCTGTATTCAGTTATAAAGGACTTGTGTAAAGAGGGGGTCAAAGCTTAGCACACAAAAGAAGTAAGAAATTATATTTCTCTGCCATTTGAACTTACCATAAGTATGTTTTCCCAAGGTATAAGGCCTTTGGAAATCTTCCCATAAAATATGATGATTTTTATATGATCCATTAAATTCTTTCATAAACAGCATTTTGGGTTTCTTTTTGGAAACTACAGCATTTTAAAAGCTACAGCCCCAGAGTAAATATTAAAACCATTTTAGTATTTTTAAAGTACATGAAGGAAAATGAAGTAGTCAGAAAAAGAGGAAGCACAGTTTTTTAATCCCTGTAATGTTGATGAAAGAGTGGAGGTTCCTCACACCCATTGTCAAAATTTTCTCATCCACAAAGCAAAATGGGAGCAGGTCCAGTGATCCCAAGTCATTCTCTTTTCTCATGATGACTTCTAGACCTAATAATGAACAGCTAAAGAATTGTGATCAAATTGCTTGAATTTCTCTATCTTAGGACTTAGGACTGAGGTCCTCTTGAAAGGTGTGTGCTTTGTAGAAAATCCTCTCATGCTCAGTGGTAGCATGCCCACTTTCCATGCTCAAAGTCCTGGGTTCATCAGCGCTGTTAAAAAAAAAAAAAGCAAGCATCAATTCATATCTTTAAGTCCTTAGTTATTTTTGTACTTTAGGCAGAGCTGGATCTGGCTCTTGGCTTTACTCTGCGTATACCAATGTTTCTGTTTGAACTCTTAAACATGTGTGTCTATTCCCCTTCTATGCTAAGGGTGGCGACAAAATAAAAATTTAGTAACTTTTCTGTAACCTCTGCTGGGTCAGATGCTCAAGAGCACAGTGATGACAGACACTCACCCTCTTGGAATTTATACTCTAGTGGGTTGAATGGAAGAAAGGCAAAGAGCAAGTGGACCAGCAATAGGACATCAGTGAGGCAGAGAGACAGAGTAAACACCAGTATAAATAAACATAGCATCAGAGGGTAGTGAGTTGGTATTTTTTTTCCTGTTCTTTTAGTCTGTTTAAAAAGGTAAGATTGTAAATTGGCTATGGTTTTTACCTGTGATACCAGCACTCAGGAGACGTGAGCAAGTTCAAAGTCAGCCTGGGCTACAGAGCATGGCTCCATCTCAAAATAGCCACGAGGGGGTTGAGTGTCTGGTATGACATAAGTATGTTAAGTGGCCATGCGTCTGAAAGACTAGTTGACTTCACGCTAGCAGATTTAGCTGCAGCTGTACAGGTTCA